AGTAAAACGTTCATGCTCACGTTAAATTTCTTTGCATTTAGTTTTGTATGCTAAACCACTGGGCTGATGAGGAGACTTATACGCTCTTAGACCTCGAGCTCCATAGCAATTTTTTGCTTTCACCATTCTTTTCTTTTATCAACGAACCGTATGCATAATGGCGTACGAAGTTATACGAAAATCTTGTATACAACAGCACTTGCAGAGATAACCTTGAAACTTGGAAAAACGGCTTATGACAAAACTGCACATATTACCCATCCTCTGATTGATTAATCCTATTTCCAAGCCAGTGAAGGGGGGCAGAGGGGTGGGAGCCCAGGAGAACAGGGGGAGGAAGAGGGATCTAGGAGCCGGAGCAGAAATTAAAAAGGCGCTTGTTCATTGTATATTACTGATTATCATTCAGTCAAAAACCAGTACCCAGCAAAGTTTTTTCACATCCATTTAACGTCCACAGAGGTGTAAAAGAAAATTTTACAAGGAATATTTGATTTTTTCTAAGGCATACAAACTTTCCATATGCAATAGTTCTGACCAAAAAGTTAGTGTTTTCCCTGTACAAACTGTCCTAGTCATCAATGGTACATTATAGTTTATGCCTTTATTTTGCATACCACTGTTTCTCTTCAGTTCTGGTCAAATTCTTGGTTCCTTTTCATTCATTTGTTGTTGCTTTTAGATGGAAGGCTGGAGACTTTTGTCATTGGTTTATCACACTTTAACTGATTTACTTTGCAACTTGATCACAAAATGAAACATGTTCTCTTTGACAAACCTCAATTATAAAAGTAATAGATAGCTTTTTCTTCTGGGCTCTATAATGTGATCAAGCCACTTGGGATGTTAGGAGAATATTAAGAAAGCCAGTACGTCACTCACCTTTGGCTAATGATTTACAAGCTTTTCTCTTGCACAATATCCGAAATAGTTTTATCATGTTATAGGGGCTAGTAAAATGTGCTAGGTTGCTCAAGTTTATACATCATTGATTCGGGTCCATTATGGCCCTGAATCCTTTTTGGACCTCATGTAAGTCATTTAGTTTCACCATAATACACTACAATATGATTGTCCAACTGGACTGGCTGCCGGGTTAGTTTAATGACTGGCTGACTGGCTAACTGGCTTATGGCAATTGACTGACTGACTGGCTGCTGGGCTGGCTAACTGACTAACTGACTGACTGACTCATTGACTAACTAACCAACTAACTGGCTGGCTGACTGGACTTCTGATTGACTGAGTGACTTTTTTACTGAATGCTGGCTTGCTGAATGACCATCTGACTTACGAATTGTCGGTCTGACTGACTGATTGATGGCTGACTGACCTACTGACTGACTAACTGACTGGCTGGGTTGACAAAGAGATTGACCTACCATTATGACTGACTTACTGATTATCCAAGGATATTCAAGTTCACAGTGCATTCTCTCTATAGTATGTGTGTTTGTATTTATGTATATAGTATCATCATTTGTGGGTGAAACTATAGCCCATAGTAAGCAACCTTAATTAACATTTTTGGTACTACCGAGTAAATACAATGATGAAGAATGGTTTTGAAATGCACGTGGGTTGTATTTAATGAGTGCTTTTGCAAGGAAATTTGTCTATTCCAAACAATAGGATGAATTTTTTGTCATTATTCAAGCTTTTCTTTCCACTGCTCCTCGTTGTTTCACCCAGGGTTTTGACCATCTGCAAGACAAAGGTTGTTTTACTGTAGTCCAGTTCAAGTTGTTGATGGTTTATTTTGGGAGTGGGGGTGGGGGGGCACTTGAAAAGAAGGTGGGTTAGCTGCCTTTTAGGGAAGTTACGTCTGTTAATGAAATATCTTCTGCCAACTCAACACATAGATTTGGTAGGTTTTCTATAGTTGAATTATTGTCAAAACTAATCATGCAGTTAATCAGTTTTTGTGTTCCTGTTTATTCACTAGAACAGAACATGTTTTAAAGGCCTGTAGCTGTGTGATAGAGAAATGTTGCATGTAATAACATCTAAGGCTACCATTACTTGCTTGGCTATTGGCATATTTTATCCAGGTGATGTAATGTCCAGATACCTGTGTAGTATTCATAACATACTGTTATTATTTTTTTGGGCCAGCTAGCATTTTTGGTTAGAATCTAATGTTCTCCTCTTAAGAGGGGTGGTGGGGAAATTGGCCAGGGTAGTGACATTGAGGTTACTTTGGCTCTATTTTATTTTTTTAGTTTCAGTTTTTTGATATAGTTGTATAGTACTTAATAATTTACATACAGTTACTGTATCAGGTGTAGACGCTTACACGTGCAACTAAGTTTTGTTCAAACTGTCTTTTTCAGGTAGACATGGGTTTCCTAGAATTTCCTAGATTGCAGTTGTGGAGGAATGAGTAATGATGTCTACAGGGATTGACATTTTGAAGCTTATACGTCAATGTACAGATTACAGGTTAGAAATCTCTACATCTTAGTGGTTCCATGGTTATGCTATACAAAAACCAATTTAGACGTTTAGTTTGACAGTGAGAAGCTGTCCACTTACTCTCCATCACTTATCATTCTCACTTCTTGAAACTGCTTGGATAAGTAGTCTTTTGGTCAGATCTTAATAATAAGAAAATCATACGACATCAGTGATGTTAGGACTTAACAGCTTAAGAAGTTGATCCTATCACTAACAGCAAACTACATTTTAACTTTATAAATGTCCAGTTTGGCATTAGTAAACTTTTTGGAATGTTAGCCGGCATACGTGGTTTTCGCTTCAGTCAAACCCAGATTATAGAATGCACGCTATTTTTTGTTATTGTTGTTATTTCCTCAACATGTAATTCAAGCAATTAGGAAGTTAACCACTCTCTATTTTAGTATTAAAAAAGTGATGAAAATGAAATCGAATCAGTCAAATTCACGTCATACGACTCCGCAGTTGGTTCTCCATGGCCTAAAACTCACTAAAATTGTTTTCATGTTATCGATAATTCCTGAAAAATTTGCTTCATAGCATTTAGAATTGCGGAACCATTTCAGAAAGCCACGTGCAAAACGCAAGTTGTGATATACAAATTCCATGCCGAAAAGCAGAATTCACGCTACCCGAGTGATTAGACAAGCCTCAAAGACTTACACAGTACACTGAAACTGGTTTCGTATTAAATGATATTCTGTTTATTTGCTGCTACATAAAAGTGCTGTTAACATTTGCAATCTTAAACTTTCTGCAGATTTTTGGAGGAAGGAAATGATAATGATTGGGCCTAAGAACACATCAATTAGAAAAGGCATGAGAAGTTGTTTGTCAGAAGAAGAAAAGCTATTACAGTAAGTACATCGAAAAAAACCTCATCTTACACTATGGAGTAAGGTTTGCTCGATAGAAAAGCCATTTCGAAGACTGGCGTCTCTTGTTCCTCAGCAGGTGATTCATTGTGTCATGCAGTTTACTTAAGATTGCCAGAGATGAAAAAAAAAGCCCACCAAAAGTATTTTCACTTTCTCTTGGAAAAATTGAACATTTACTCTGGTAGCTTCGACGGTATTAGTATTAAGGTTTTCACACTTGCTAAGAGAAACTGGTTTCGTAGAGTGTTCTTATTTAGTGACATGATGTGTTTATGATTGTAGAAAAATATTTATGGGGGATATGATTTGATGCAAGATAACGGCCGTCTATCACCTCTGAAAATTTGCTTTTGATGCATAAGCTGCCTTGGGGAAGATCTGACTCTTTATCTCCTCATTCAAAGGTAAGAGGCAATCTGTTGCATAAAAAAGATATTGCTCATTCACCCTGAAAATGTTAGGCAGTTACTTGTTCTTTCGATCGAGTTAATACGAAATGTGTCAAAGCGCCAAAGTCAATCTTTTAGGTTTGGTCTGAAAATACTTTTAATTTTCATCTCTAAATTTGTCGATTCTTTACTTGTATTTTTAATATTTTGGATTATCAAAAGCAAAGACATGAAAAATAAAGTGTCAGAACTGCCTAGATATTTCCATCCTTAATTGTTTTATGTTGATCAGGAATAAAAGTTTTTAACCGGAACTAGAGGTCTAAAAATGTTATCGTTTCGCTTTCTTGGTGTGTAAGATGCTAGAAAGTTAGCGCTAAAAGTTTTAACTTTAGCACAACAAGTACACTCATCAAATCTCAAAAGATTTGATGAGAGTAGTTGTTGCGGCATAGTTGAACGGAAACTTGTGCAATTCTGTCATGATGGTTCATAAATTGTCTCTGAACAGTAAATTAATACAGCTGCCAATTTTTATGTATGTAATTATCGCGTACCTTTCCTCTTTCAGTTAGCCCAAAGATCACAAGTGTATAAAATAAGGTCAAGAGTGACGAGGTTACTTTTTATTCGGTGAGTGTAGCTTTGTTCAGTGTTCATTTGAGCAAAACCTTGTGTAACGTTCGCGGAAGTTTTTCATGGTCTTTTGACAGGAAAAATTTGTGTCGTCCTTGTGATGAAGGTTTGTTTAGGACGCATGCAGATTCATTCTATTTTCTGAATTCGATATTTCTCCAAATCTATGAATGCCATAGTTAACAGAAGCTTAAGGAGGTTTGTCTTTTGGCGGGAAAAGTTCGTTTACCGTCCTTTTGGTTAAAAGTGTGACATAGTATGAAGGCGGGTAACGTTCTTTGGTTCAAATCCTTGGTCTTAATTTCATTTTCCTGATTGCAGATTTCTTCGGCCACCCAAAGCTGGACACCAAGGAACTCGATCACCTTCAGGATTAGACCAGTGACAAATATTAATTGGATCGACCTTCACTTCAGTGAATAAAATAAAAAATTGGAGGTCGATCCGTCCACCAAAGGCGGTTCCCCGTCCACCACCTCTCCCCATACCCGCCACTTTTAATCAGTTTTCGTAACTTTTGTTATATACCCTGTAGTACAAACATCTTTTATTACAGTTAACTGGTATTACAGTAAAATATTACAATACAATATTTAAATATATATATATATATATATATGTGTGTGTGTGTGTGTATATTACAATGGTAATATTACAATCTCTTTCTTACATTATAATACAGTAATATTACACTCATCTGATACAGTTTTTTTTTCTCCATCCGACCTCCCCCACCACACCCGCCTCTGGGGTCCACTTTTTTAAATCGTTCAACAACTTGTCTACCTTGTGGTAGTGACGTTTATTTCAAACGCATGCATCTTTTGTAACCAAACATCTGTCTCAAGACACATGCGTATTGCAAGATGTTGTTACCACAAGGTAGACAGTTTACAAATACTTAAAAACTGCCATTGACCAACAATCTCTAATTTTTGCTTTCTATCCAAGATGGTTTCTTGAGGTGGTCATCTTTCACGAAATCTGTGAAGAGAGAAACTCGAATGAGTATCATTGAAACATTATGATAAAAATATGACATCAATACGAATGTGCGTTAAACTGAAACCCATCAGGACGAGGGTTCTTCCTATGTAAGTAAAAAGAAATGGGTTTATTCATTTCGTTCGACTATTCCACGAGGCAACACTCTTACGAAAATTAAAGGAACTTTTTAAACAAAATTACACAACTCTACGTTCAACTGTAATTACACTTACCACTCATCTCCCACGAAATCCATAGTAATCTTGTAATCTTCATGTCACCTGAAATACGAAAAATACACCCAACTCATATAACGATAATAAACGGAGCTGACAAGTTTTGCTCAGAAACGCTGAACATTTTTCTGATGTAAATTGGTAGATCTCTTTAAAACATTAGACAATAATTGTACTTTCTCAATTATCGAGACAAATTATGCCTAAAAGCTCACATTTGACTTGTCTTCTTTACAGAACCATACGAGATACGCAAGTTTTAATGAACAAATAAATATCTCTTATAGGACGTTTGGTGTGTGGTATCCATGATTATTTTTACGACTTGCAGAGCGAAACAAAGCAGGTAGAGAAGCGTAGAACGGACATCCGACTGGTTAAACAGGCTGTTCTACAGAGCGAAATAGCCAACTGTCCAAATATATAAACAATGGCTTATATTTGGCGCGAAAATATGCACAGATACTTGTCCGTGGACATAATCTGTTCCACGGTGCGAACAGATAATGTCCAAGGACAACTATACAAGCATGTTTTCGCGCAAAATAGAGATCATCCAAATATTTTTCAACGCGCGTGGAAAGAATTCTTTACGAACAGCTTACAATTTGCCTTGTAACATATTTTCTTTGAGTGCTTTCTGGTACGAGTTATGAACAAATAAATATTTCACTTCTTCATTAACAACCACAAAACGCTCTCATCTTAAATTAAATTTTAAACGAGGACTTATCGTAGTGGATGTGAGGTTTGAAAATTTGGGAATATCACTTGGGTGATATCCTCGGATATCCCACAGTTTAGCTCGGGGATATTCGGTCACGTGATGCGTTTAGACCAATCGCGTGGAATAATACTTGATTGGATCCTAAAGCATGATATGTGTACTCAATTCGCGTGTTATTTTTACTGAACTTAGTTTGTTTGAGGTTCTGTACTTGTTTTCTGGTTTCAAGAATTCCATAAGATTTGATTCTGCGAGTAACCCTGGAAATCTTGTCTCTTTATTTAAACCAGCAAACTTACCGAATTTATTGCGGATGTTGAAAGGAAATATCATTGTAACTTCCATGTCGGCACTAGTACTCTTTCTGACCAACTCTCAGACTAGGTGACATATTTACCTGGGTAACAAAAAATAATGGTGTAAATGAAAAGTGAGTCAATATCTCAACATGAACGATAGCCAACCGTTTCTTGAATAATTAAGAAAACAAATCATTTGGAAACCTCTTTCAGTCTTCCCTTTCCTTAGTCATCGTTGTTCCTAATTAGTCTACATCCATCTCTTCAAATTAATAAAATGTATGCTGTCTGTCTAAGTTACCTAACTGAAATTTTGTAGTTTCGTAAAAATTAAATGCAATTTGGTGCGCTGCATGAACACGATTCAAACACCATGACGATGCTCCAGAGGTGATCCATTAATAGAACTACCGGTCGTGGAAAAATGAACCGGAAGGGAGGTCCCTTCTGCTAGTGGAAATGAATTTAAGTTGAATGTGTGAGGATTGAGGTGGAATATCATTCTTGTAACCATAAAGACAAGGTTGAAAGAAAAGTGAAGAAATGCAATTCAAGAAATACACAACTTATCATCAAGTCGCCGGGCTCTATCGAAGACTCTTTATCTAACAAGCTCAAAATACCAATCTCATATTCCACGCTGTAAGACAAAATACTTACTACTGGCACCAAAGGAAGTCGATCAGGGCCCACTGATCCACGACGATATTCCACGTTTTTTTTGTCCTGTGTTAAGATTGAAAGAAACAAAAATTATCCAAAATCTTTTTCTTTTCAGGAAAATCCTAACCGAGTTTATAAGTGTTAAATGATAAAGCAATGTTTAAAATGAATATGCTTCTAATACGTTTTGAGTTTTTGGGTAAAACAGATTCCCTGATAAGCTTTTTGTCTTCCATCTCTTTTGGAAGGTCAAACATCTGCTCAATCTATGAGGACGGTCCAGTGTCCGAAAGAGTCTTTCCTCTTGCTTTTTTTCGTGAGAGCAAGTCTTTACATAAATAGTCACGACTAAGGAGGATTTTGTTTGGGTGACATCGACCCACTAGTGGGTCAGCTTTTGGTCTCCCATCTCTACAGAGTTTGACACCTCATAAGCGTATTAAGACAGTCCAGTGTCCGAATCAGTTTATCTTCTTTATTGGGGACCTAGTCTTTGCATCACAATTCAAAGTCAAAGTCAGTACAAAGTCAAACTTCTGTTTAGCATACAAAGACAGTTCATTATCCCAAACAGTTTTTCCTTTTTTGTAGGACCAAGTCTTTGCATCACAGATCAAGACTAAACACACTGACCCCTTTAAGACTCAGCATTTAGTCTCCCATCTCTTGTACAAAGTCAAACACCTGATCGGCACATAAAGACAGTCCAGTGTCCAAAACAGTTTTATCCTCTTTTTGAGGACCAAGTCTTTGCACCACAGATCAAGACTAAGGAAGAGATTGTTTAGGTGACAGCAACCCCTAAAAGGGCCAGCTTTTAAGTCTCCCATCTCCTATACAAAGTCAAACACCTGATCAGTGCATAAAGACAGTCCAGTGACTGAAACAGTTTTTCTTTTTTTTTTCCTCAAACCAAGTCTTTGCATCACAGATCAAGACTAAGGAAGAGATTATTTGGGTGACACTGACCCCTTAAAGGATCAGCATTTAGTCTCCCATCTCTTGTACAAAGTCAAACACCCAATCAGCTCATAAAGACAGTTCAATGGCTGAAACAGTATTATCCTCTTTTTGAGGACCAAGTCTTTGCATCACAGATCAAGACTAAGGAAGAGATTTTTTGGATGACAGCAATCCCTTATAGGGTAAGCTATAAGTCTCCCATCTCTTGTACAAAGTCAAACACCTGATCAGCGCATAAAGACAGTCCAGTGGCCAAAACAGTTTTTCCTTTTTTTCCGTCAAACCAAGTCTTTGCATCACAGATCATGAATAAGGAAGAGATTTTTTGGGTGACAGCAATCCCCTAAAGGGCAAGCTTTAAGTCTCCCATCTCTTGTACAAAGTCAAAAACCCGAGTAACATATAAAGACAGTTCAGTGGCCGAAACCATTTTGTTTCTGTTTTTGTTGAAACAAGTCTTTGCATCACAGATCAAGACTAAGGAAGATATTTTTTGGGTGACACTGACCCCTTAAAGGCTCAGCATTTAGTCTTCCATCTCTTGTGCAAAGTCAAAATCCTGATCAGCGCATAAAGACAGTCCAGTGCCTGAAACAGTTTTTTTCTTTTTTTTTTTTGTCAAACCATGTCTTTGTATCACAGATCAAGACCAAGGAAAAGATTGTTTGGGTGACAGCAATCCCTTAAAAGGCCAGCTTTTAGTCTCCCATCTCTTGTACAAAGTCAAAAACCCAATCAGCGCATAAACACTGTCCAGTTTCAAAACCAGTTTAACCTGCTTTTTTGGGGATCAAGTCTTTGTTTCGGAGGCCACTGTCAAAGTCAGTAAAAATTCAAACCTCTGTGCAGCGCATGAAGACAATCCACTGTCCAAAAGTTTTTCTAACAATAGATGGCAATTTATCCCGTGCATAGATCCACCTTTGTCCACCTTCTAAACAACTACATCAGGAATGGATACCATTTTGAATCACTGATGGTAAAGTGAAAGTCGTAAGTGAAATCTTCCTGTTCACCATGAAATTGAACACTATGCATCTGAAGTGAACTACAAAGCATCCTTCGCATCAAAGTCTTTTTTACCTGCTTCAGCTAGTAATTGGATTTCACAGCAAAGCAGTCATAAATTAGGATAAATCCAAAAATCCATTCTTAAGGCTGAATCTACAGTATACTGATGGGCCACCCATCCTGTAACAAGAAAAAACATTTTCTTCAATGTTTTCCTTGTGTTTAGATATATAATGGCATAATTGCACAAAAAAGCTAGCAAACAGACATTTCCTCTTTGCAACCCCACTCAAAGAATATCTGTCTTTCATCAGTCAGCCAGTCTGTAACTTTGTTGGAGGGTTGCCTTAAGAACAAGGAAGGTTCAACTGTCTTGCCTATAATATTATTCTTCTGCCAATGGATTTCTGGCCATTCCATGCTTAAGAACAAGGTAGGGTTCATGTTGCTATTTTCTAGTAATTTACTAGTAAGCTAGTAAGCTAGTAATTTTCTCATATTGCTTACGGCCCTTGACTTCCAGCATGATAACCTATGATTCAACTTCCAGTAAATCAATTTTTCAACTACCATAGACAAATTGTGTCAGATTGGGTGTAGTGGACATGTATGCTTTGTTGCCAACAAATATTCATCCTTTCCTTTGCTTCACTTTAGAAAAGGAATGTCTGTGAATTTATGTTTGGTTAACTTAACTGAATGACCGAAATGCTATTAAAAAGTTGGGTTCATTTTTTAATTCCTTAACAAAAAAGCTGTAAATTCCTAACAAATTTCAACCAAATTTCATTGTTCAATACTTCGCCAAAAAGGAGAACATAACACGTCGATCTGTGTAAAACTTTTCACAAATATTTTTAGATTCTATCCATAGAACATTTTAATCCAATTTCAGGAAACAATCGGCAAACAAATTTAACAGCTGGTTAAGAATATATGAAACCGTCTATTCATCACTTCACGGGTTTATTTAGAACCACCATCATGACCAGCTCCCAGTTGGCTTGTTAGCTCAGTTGGTAGAGCGCTGCACCGGTATCGCAGAGGTCATGGGTTCAAATCCCGTACAGGCCTGAATTTTTTTCAGGCCTTATTTTCACTACTGCCTAAGTAGTGCACATCACTGCGAGGATCACTTTCATTCACAAATTTAACAGCTTTTGCAATTTGTAATAAGTCATTAGGCATTAGTCAGAAAGTCAGTCCATGAGAGGGCAATTCAGTCACTCAGTCAGAGTGAGTCAGTCATTCATTCAGTAAGTCAATCATTCAGTCAGTCAAACAGTCAGCCAGTTAATAAGTCCCTTGGAGGGCTGCTTAGTGAGTTAGGCAATCAGTCCTGCACTCACTCAGTCTGAATCACACAATATTTCAGTCAGTCACACAGTCTGCCTCTTGTTAAGTACATTGGAAGGTTGTTTAGTGAGTCAGTCGATTATTCAGTCAGTCTGAGTTAGTCAGTCAATCAGTGAGTCAGTTGATCATTCAGTCAGTCTGAGTCAGTCAATCAGTCTACCACTTGTTAAGTCCATTGGAAGGCTGTTTAGTGAGTTAGTTAATCAGTCACTCAGTATCAGGGTCATGCAATAAGCTGTATAATCTCACACAAATATACAGGTTTAGTAAAGGATGTCAGCAAATCAGTTAGCTGATCAATCAGTCAGATACTCATTCAGACAGTTAGCAAGTCAATCAGTCGCACATCAGTCCATCGCAAACTCACTCTTTCCCTCACTCATTGACCAAGTTATTCTGTTAATGACACTTATGACAACTCCCCTGGATTTTGTAGGAGTCACGTAGATAAAGCATGAATCTTCAAGTCTTTCACATGTGGAACCTCATCAAATACCCAGTCACTAATGGGCCAAAAAAAGGCATGTCTTATAAATGGGTGGCCCTATTACAGTGACAGGGTCAAATTGCTGGTTACTTAGCAAGTTGCCTAAGAAGATGCTATCATCAAGATTATTTCTTTAACCCTTTAACTCCCAAGATCTAATTAGTAATTCTCCTTACTGCCTGCTGTACAATTCCTATGTGCATTTTGGAGAATTTAGTATTGGATCATGAACCACCAATCCCCTAATTGTTATTTTTCTTTATTCTCTTCAGTTGTCTGCTTGATATTGCAAATATTGCAAGGAGAAATTCCATTTTAGGCACTCATGGGAGCTAAAGGGCTAATCACCTTTGTAATAAAAACAGGGAGGAATGTTGTTTACTTGTAAATAAATTGGCTGTTTGATTAGACAAAGTCGAAGCACTTGAGTGAAAATTTATATAAATTCAAGGCTATTTTGAGAAATACATTCAAAACCTGAAAATAGCAAAAAAACACGAAAACAACAAATGCAAATTTAAACAAATTGTAAAACGTATACATTCTTGCCAACTCCTTACAGACTTTTTAACACCTTCCCTTTTGCCCAAGAAAACTCCTTTTGACTTCAATTTTTGAGTTTGCTGGCCGCAAACACAGCTCAAAGAAGTAAGAGCACATGGTCAGAACGCCAATCGTTAGATTTGAATTTCCCGCAAATTGTTCAGAATCGAAAATATCCCAATATTCTGGGCCAAGCCACAAGGGTACCTTGAAACTAAAAATAATTGGGGACAGACGTTTATTTTCAATAAAAAGTATGTACAGTAGTTTTTCAGGTTTAATCCTTACCTGGCGGATTGTCCAAATGCTCTCCATCCTGTCTATAAGCGCATTTTGCAGCCGCCGTTATCATTTTTCTTTCCATAAATCACCACACTAGAGCAAATTTGTTCTAAGCGGTAAGCGATATTTGAGGTCAAGTTTTCTTTACCATTTTTAGGTCAAAACGTGTAGATTGATTCATCGTTCCCTTTCATTTCTAGAGTTCCATCGTCTTCGCAAAACTCTGTGACACCGCCATGTTGGATTAATTCACTTCCACTTGTTCCCAGTATTTGGCAAGACTCGCCACGCTACACGCAAACTTGTGCGGAGAGGAGAAAATCACCACTTTCCTTTGACATCGGTAGAACTGTTTCGTTTGAGTGTAATTTTCTGGCTCAGGGTGAATATTATAAGGCCCTACTGACTTTAAGGCCAAACTTCTTTAGAAAGGTTATCATTTTTACTTCTCGATCAACAATTTTTGACTTAAAAAAAACATGCGCGAACGAGCGAGTCTTCGCGCGAGTAGAGTGCAAGCGGACTTTAAGTGAGTGCATAATCATCATCATCATCATCATGGCTGTTGTCATCTTCATTGACATCGTTGGAATCAGGGGCTTGTAATTACGTGTTACACAATTGAAATTGGGTCATAATATTTCCTAAACGATGGCCATGATTAGTTGGTACAATTGAAATCAATATGGTGTGAGGAACAGTTAGGGAAAGTTTGCCAAAACTATTACTTCTGTTTCCAGTGAGGCACCTTAACGCTTAAGAACTTTTTAAAAAGGTACATATGAAAACGAGAGCGGGAGAAGAAATAGAGCTCGACACTCTGAGACTTCTCTTGGGTGGAAACAAATATCTTTTCCACTACTAGAGCCACCTTCACAGCAAGAATTATATATTTTTTTCTGTCTCTCTCTCTCTCCTTTATTTATTTATTTATTTGTTTTCATTCCAGTATGCCATCAATGACGGACTGATTGAAAGAATCGAAAAGCTGAATGCGTGAAGAAAAGATAAACAGCACCACAAACCCTCGGAAGGAAATAAGAATACCTTACGAAACAATATAAGTGCTTTTATAATTTATAATAAATCCGATGAGCAATGAAACGG